TCATAGACCCACCGAAAGGAGTAAGGAAAATAGGAACTGAGTGAGTAACTTTGGAAAGAGTGTTTTGACAGAAAGCTGCAGACTAAACACAAAACATATTGCCTGCCAACATTGAACTCTGGTTAATACATTTTTCTCAGCAGAGTTAGGTTAGCAATTTTGGAATTACTTTATATGCACAGCAGGGTTGAAAAATAAGTACATATGTAGTAGCTAATGACACTCATTTCTCAGTCCTAAAAAGAGATGTTCCAAACAAGGTAAGGAGGGAAGGCAAGAATGGACCCAGAGATGCTGGCTTAAATGGGGTTAGAAACAAAACTCGTGGCATTTTCTGAAGTTTGTCTAAAGACAGGTCCAGAGCACAATATGGTTAAGTATAGCTATGTATATATGAATGCGTAAGTTGGCATACATGTGGGTACTTCCTAGCCCTGTCCAGAGAAAACTTAGAAGCAGTCATTTGCCAGTAGACATGAGTATACTCTAGTGCCCAGACCTTGAGTTCTAGATCCATTCTCCATTATCTAGGAATCAGGGCTCCTTGGAGAATTGATTTCACAGAATAAGCAGAATGGAACCTCTTGGACACCTTGGCCAGGTAGCTGCTGTCAGACAAGAACGATCTTGACGTGGATGCAGGTCTGTGTGGTTAGCCATCGGCAGTGGATGCAGGTCTGTGTGGTTAGCCATCGGCAGTGGATGCAGGTCTGTGTGGTTAGCCATCGGCAGTGGATGCAGGTCTGTGTGGTTAGCCATCAGCAAGCTTGGGATTGGAAAAGCAGATCTGCAGAGACAGCAACAGCCCTGTTACAAGTATGTTTTGGGGGAAATGACTCCAGGAAACAGTAGATGGGAGAGGTGCTAAATGCATGTCTAAAAATTAATCTTGATTTTCAACTCGATTGGGTTGGGCAATGCCTTGGTTAGCAAAGTCCCCCTTCATCATGTCTGTCAGTACGTGTCAAAAAAAATGATTAGATCATGAGGACTCTGACCTAATGAATGGTTTAACTCATCAATGGATTCAAATTATAAACAGGATATTGGGAGATAGGGCTTGGTTGGAGGAAGTAGGTCACTGAGGATGTGTCCTTGAGAGTCACAGCGTAGTACACTGACCCCTTCCTGTTACTGCTCTAGTCTGTTCATTTGACACCATTATGTGAGGTGTACATACATACACACACACACACACACACACACACACACACACACACACACACACACACCCTCCCGCCTCCCCCCCCCATTCCCCGCCCCACACAACTGGGAGAAAACTCTGAAATAATGAGGAAAACATTTCTCCCAGGAATTTTGGTCACAACTACCCAAGAGTAACTAATTAATCAAGTCAACTTACTTAGGACCCGAGAGAGTGAGCACCTTTTCCAAACAGTGTAGCAACACCACAAAGTGAGATCACAGACGCCACTGGAGTCAGCATGGTGATCGACTAGGTTTGCAGGGCCCGGAAGCTCAGCCTGAGCAGCAGTTTGCTCACAAAGCCCAGGCAGATCTCAAACACTGTTTCCCAAGAAGCATGCTAAGCTTCTAGCAATGGATTGATTTTATCTTGAACAGTCCATTCCCATCTATCCTGCAGTGTGTCCCAACAGGTTAACCCAGGTTTCCACAAACATGTCAAAACCTGGAGCCACAGAGTGTTCTAAATAGTAGGTCTTTGATGATGACAGTTCTTTTAAGAACTGTCTTTTTTTTTTTAAAGAAATACCCAGACTTCCATAATCCTATTTTTCTCCACACTCCTATGGAAATTACAAAACATCAGTCTCTTCTTCAAAATCTAGTAAGTTAACATTCTCCATCACTTGTTTCTTCCAACTCTAGAATCCTTCACGTCCACGCTCAGTACATTTCTATGGACTTGATCAAACCACCAGTGATCTCTTGAAAGTCTACATTCGTATACAAGCAACATTTTTGTGTCCGTGTTTACTATTGTCTCAAAAGAATCATTTGGTGGCAGCTACTGGAGTTGAAACTGAGTGGTGAAATAGATTGTCTTGTGTGACACATCTTGGTAATCCTGAAGGGCTCTCCCAGGCTGGGCATGGCAAACATGATGCTGGTAGGCCTTGCCCTTTCTCCTGCCCTCTCCCTTGTAACCATAGATTACATCCCTAAAGCTAGCCATCAAGGTCTATTACCTTATTTGGACACATTCTTCTGCCAGCTTTTGGAGAAGGGACACACAGCAGGGACTTTGTAGAAAGGATGGGGACCTACAGGTGAAGCTGGGCCTGCCGATCTGTACTTGTGTTTCTGGCTGTAGGGACATCTCCCAAGCCACTCCTTCAGTGGCCTTGCTTCTGTGTGGACATGCAGGTCCATAGCCTTTTGACAAAAGAAAACCTGCTGTTCCTCTGTGGTTCTGGACGCAGTCCTGGCCCACCACAGGCTGGGCTCTGCTGGGTGTCTCCATACCCCTTCTCTGACCCTCCCTTATCTAAGCAGCATCAAATAGAACCTTCGATGCGGCACCACCAGCCCCATGGAACTCATCTCCTACTTCAAGCAGCTGGTGGCAGCAACCAGAGCAGCTGTGAGGGCTGCAGACTATCTTCACGTGTCCCTAGACCTGCTGAAGAGGAAGTTGCAGCCCCAGTGGCCAGGGCCTTTCAATGTGACTGATACTGTAACCCCTCCCCTTTACACACCACCCCCTCACCCTCTGGAAGGTTCTACCATGTCGTCCCCCCCCCCCCCCCGCTAATACAGCAGTTTCTCAATCTGTGGGTCATGACCCCTTTGAGGGTGGAACGACCCCTTTCACAGGGGTTACCTAAGACCATCAGAAAACACAGATCTTTACAATTCTTAAGAGTCGCAAATTTACAGTTGGGCAGTAGCAACGCCAATAGTTTTATGGTTGGGGGGGGGGGGTCACCACAACATGCGGAACTGTATTAAAGGGTCGCAGACTATTCAGATGTGAGGCTGACTGCTTCTGAGTAGAACAGTAGAAGTCCGAGCAGGTTCCACACCTAGTGCGGCAGCAGTGTGAGGAGGGGGTCCAGGGAGAGCCCACAACCCACCGGGAGCGAAGACGCCAAAAAGCCAGCCCTCTGTATGGTGGGGCACCAGATGCAGCATGAATCCTAATTGGTCTTAATAATAAAAACCCAGTATTTACCCAGATATCAGGGTAAGTGCTGAAAGACCAGTAAAGTAAACAGCCGGCCACTGGAGACTCCTTACCTCTACCGAATCCTCAGACCATGAAAGGAGCTGAGCTCCTGTATCCACCTCGTCTTATTACTTCCTCTTCACACCCAGCCATATCACTTCCTGCTTCCTCCTCCGAAGTGCTGGGATTAAAGGTGTGTGCCACCACTGCCTGGCCTCAAGTGGCTAGCTCTGCCCTCGGATCTTCACGCAAGATTTATTTTTTAAAGCACAAATAAAATATGACCTCAAATGGTGAGGCAAAGCTAGGCTCTCTCTGTGGGGAACAACCGTTTAAGTAGTTCTCCCCTTTACCTCACTGAGGAGGAGAGGGATGCTCACAGAGGGGGAGCCTCATCTAAGGCTGGTGGGTTGCAGAACAGGGCTATGATCAAGGACTGCCCAAGGAAATCTCCGTAGATGGGAAATGACTCTCTGATTGTTTGGTCTTTACCTGTAGGATACTTTCCCTCTTTGTTGCGGATCTTGAACCCAGGGCCTTGTGTATGCTAGGCAAACACTCTACCACTGAGCTACATCTCTAGCCCTTTCTCACTTTGAAACAAGGTCTTGCCAAGTTGTCCAGGCTGACCTTGAGCTTGCTCTGTAGCACCGGTTGATCTTGAAAGTATGATTCTCCTGTACCATCAGGCCTGGCAAAGATAAATTGAATTTGTCAATTAATTAACCAACTAAACATTGACTAATTAATTTCTGTGGTGCTAGGGTTTAACTAGGGCATTGCACATTGGAGGGTCTTTTCATTTTATTATTTATTTAATTATAGATTTTTGTTTATTACTTATATGGGTGTTTTGCTTGCATGATGCCTAGATGTCACCTGCATGCAGTACTCACAGAGGCCAGAAGAGGGCAGAGGATCCTCCGGGACTGGAGTTTCAGACAGTTGAGAACAGCTTTGCTGGTGCTGAAAACTGAACCAGTGTCCTCTGGAAGAGCATTCAGTGCTCTTAACCACTGAGCCATCTCTCCAGCCCCTGGAGGGCTTTTACATACACACACACACACACACACACACACACACACACACACACACACACACACACGAATGTCAACCAGGCAATGGTCGTACATTCCAGCACTAAGGAGGCTGAAGTCATGTAAATTTAGGAGGACTGAGAATTTGGGGCTACTCTGGACTACATAGTCTGTTCAAGCCCACCTAAGATATAACGTGAGACCCTGTGAAAAAAGTTAAAGGCTGTATAAATACACACTGAGCCACAGCCCAAGCCATGTTCTGGAGTCGCCACTATACAGCGTCCAAGGCCTGTCCAGCACAAATAGGGTGTTTCTTAGAGGACTGACGAGATGAGTTTCAGTTCCTGGGAAATCCGGGCTTGGTTACCCGTGGTACCCCACAGCAGTGTCACCCCGAGATCACTCTCTCATTGCTCTGTGGTTTTGATGGTTTTTTTTTTACCCAGAAGCCCCTTGCCTCCTCCCTGCTTTGAGAGCTCTTGCACCTCTCACTCAGTTACGATTCTCCCCGTCAGAGTGATCGATGCCCAGGACCTCCTACCCATAAGACACATCTGGACTCTAAGCATCCGGGTACTTATAGCCGTGGTTGCAAGTCCTGCCCCTCGGAAGGAACAGTTGGATATTTATTGAGCACTTTGTGTGGTGAACACCATGCTGAGTGCCCCAAGCCATACCCAGAAGCAGATGGAGAGTCTGTGGCTCAGGATGCTTATAATCTAGTCTGGGAGGAAACCTAAGGGTCAGAGGTCACAGCCTCGGTCAGTGCTCATTCAGGAAGAGAGCAGGTGACATCTGAGAAGCTGGAGGGGCATCTTGTTAGAGGATGATTTCCACAGGCTGAGAAGGTGTCATGGAGGTGGTGGGACCCAAGGGGAAGAGCTGGAAAGGCTGAGGCCGCCTTTGGCCACCATCTGGAGGATGCAAGAAATGAAGATGTGGGACTTGGGTGTCCAACTTGAAAGGACTAGGTCATTGAACGTGCTTGAAATGACATCTTGGACCATGGGCATGCACAGTGCAGGAAGCCATGGGCAGGAGGTTTCTACTTCTTCACTGAGGCCCAGGGGGAGAGGTCCAGCTTATCAATAGAAGAGCAGTCCACAAAGTCATGGGGGTAGCTGTTGGCCTGGAATGGGTTCAGTGGGACCTTGTTGATGGCGGTGTTGTCACGGACAAGTCTCGAGAAGGACACTTTCTGTAGAGAATCCTGTTGCTTCTCTGTGAAGACCCCAGAATTCTCCCGCCAGAACCTACAAGGACAGAGCGGGGTTGTGTCGCACAGTCCAGTGGCTAGCTGCTCCATACACTGCCAAAGGATGTCCTTGGGAACATGAAAAACTCCTCCTGTGATGACCTATGGAGTCAGATCTCATGAAGAGCACTCAGGACCCCTGCCCAAGGGTAGGGCTTCTCCTGCCTCAGATAATGATTTCACTTGCCTGTCTCCATCTCGGATCCGCTGAAACTGCCGTCCCAGGAGGCAGGTCAGGAGAGGCCCTACTCGACCCCTGTGGACCAGCGGTTCAGCAATGGCCCCTAACCAGATATCAATGTTGTCGGGGGTTCCATAGAGATCCAGCAGCTTCTTGGCCAGCATCTCATTTCTCAGCACAGCACTCAGCTCTTCTAGCGTCTTTGGCTGTGACAGACCACAGAAAGCTCTCCAGGAGTTGTACCCTAGGAGAAGGAAGACAGGGCTGGCTCATCCAGGGACCTGTCACTCGTGTTTTCCCTTGGGGATGTCACCACTCTACCCCCAGAAGCCAGGAAAGCTGGGATCAGAGCTTTCAGGACAAGGGGAATATAATGCATGGCATTTCATCTGTGGTCCTTCATTTTGGGGAGGGTGACAGCTTACCTGTGACTTACATGGGTCTGGGCACTATGACAAGCTCCGTGAAAACAAATGAGAACAAAGCTGTTGGAGTCTGCCTCAAGTCCTGTAACTAGTGTGACTGTTGATACTGATTGTCAGTGTGACATGATCTGGAATACCTTTGGAGACATCTCTGGGCATAAGCATGAGGGAGTGTCTAGATAGGGTTAATTTTGATGGGAAGACCCTGAACATGAGCAGCAGCAGCCTGTGGCCTGAACATAAAGAGGAAGGATACTGCATCAGCATCCATCACTCGACGTTTCCCGACCACGGCTACACTGTGAGCAGCTGTGTCGTGCTCCGGGTACCATGCCTTCCCTGCACGATGGGCTGACTGCACCTTCACACTGATCCACAACAAACCCAACCTTCCGTTGTGTTTCTCGGATGTTTTATCACAGCGAATGAGACCAGCAACTAAGACAGCTGGTACATGGCCTGCTGAGATCTGATCTCAAGCAACCTGGCTCTTAGGAACAACAAAACTGCTTTTCATGTGTACAAAGAAAACTCCACCAGAACTCCATCCTTCCCTCCCTTCCTCCTCTCTTCCTCCTCTTCCAGTTAAGGTTTCTCTGCGGAGCTCATGCTAGGTTTAAACGGACAATCTTCCTGCCATGGCCCCTGGAGTACTGGGCTTTCCTGTGGATGGCACCACATCTGGAGCTTCTGCTCTGGGCTTTTAAACTGTTTTCATAAGTTTGTTGTTGCTCTTGTTTTCTTCTGGAGCCCTAAGATAACAGCAGGTGTGTATTCACATCTCTGCATTAGGAAAACGGAAGACTCCATTTCCTGGATGTCTTATGTGGGTTTGTAAAATGGGCTTGCCTCTAGCTTCAGGAATGATTGGCTCCTTGGAGTTCCAGAGGACAGTGTCCAGGAGCCCCAGAAGGTAGCCAGAAAGTTCTCCAGACCAGGTGAGAGCCCAGACCCACTCACCAGGCTGTCCGTGGTCCCGGCTGCGCTGTATGTTGATGGCAGCCAGGTCGAAGCCATGGATGGTGTGATTCAGCTGGAACAGCATGTTGTGGAGTTCCCCAGTCATCATTTTATCCTGATGCACCAACTTGGCCTTCTTGGCCAGCAGGCCTCGAACCAGAGGGTCAATTCCACCTGCAGAGGGACACCAAGAGGCCATCCTTCAGATGGGAATAGGGTGAGGGCATCCTCCATGCTGGGCCCTCTCTGCCCCAGATAGCTTCTCTCAATAGGAAACTGGAACGGCTGGGGCATCTCTGGCTGGAGGCAGAGAGAGAAGAGCACAATGCAGCCTTCCCTTTGTTCCAGGTAAGAGGAGTCCAGGCTATGCTCTCTGAGGTGACAGAAAAGGGCACTCATGGGCTGATGGATGAATGACTAGCAAGAGGTTTTTTCCTGTCTTAGTTCATGGAATCTGCTCGTTCATCTTCCACACATTCTCCCAAAGGAAGATGGACCCCATGTCTTCAGGAAACAGCCCTGCCTGGTTAAGCTTGAAGGGATGTCAGTCTCAACTGAGGAATAAGAAAGCTGTACCCAACCTATGACATTTCATGGAGGGAGAAATTTCTAGAACTGTAGTGGGTAGCCATTCCAACCTTGATCTGGAAGTTCCAACCCCCATTGAGGCTTTGGTAACTGTCATGCCTACAAGTTGGGGCCAAGAGAGGATCTTGAAGACCTGAGATCCAGATTCTCCACTTCTCTTGATTCCTGGACCCTGGACGCTGGAGGTAGACTGAGCAGAGTTCTCCAGAGAACACCGCTGGACTGCGCTGCGTCTTTCCCAGACCCTGCAACCTACCAAGCCCTTCATTTGTAAGTTACGCCACTAAATAAATCTCCCTTTTAACTACGTGGAGTGGCCTTAATAATTTCACCAATATAGAACAGCACAATTTACCAAGCTCACAAATTCTGTTTTCAGAGTCCAGAGACTCCTACGGCAGGAAAAGGCAGAAGAATCTTAGACAGTGGGAAACCAGAAGGAGGAAATAACTATTATTTCCTGATCACTCCTTGTGTCTTAGGATCACAATAGAGTGTTCTACACATCTATCTCATTTAATTTGCTATCCTGTGAGATGGTACTGCTGTTGCCCTTATTTTACAGACAAGAAAATTAAGACTCAGTGAGATGAATTCTCTTGTCCACCTCACACAGGAAGTGTCTGGAAGGTGATCCTCACACCAAGAGTCCCTACAAATTGGAGAATGAGAGGGCTCAGGCAAGAGCACTTCCCTGAAAAGACTCACTATCTTTGACCAGCCTCCAGGTGTTGAAGAAGAGCTTGTGTAGGGGGAGCTCAGGTTCTGAACCCCAGGGCTGATAGTTCTCATCCAGGCGAGACACAGTAGAGGGGACCTCCAAGTGGCCAAAGCGGAAAGCAAAGGTGAAGACATTGGAAATTCGGGGGTCTACAGTTTCACTGTAGCCTTGGTATGGGGGTATCCACTTCTGCATCTCATCACCCAGTAGGATGGGTAGATAGTCCCTAAAGGTGACAATCTGAAGGGAGAAAGGAGTCATGAGGAAAGGACATGAGAAGGGAGAAACTCATCTGCAATGGGAGGCTGGAGAGGAACTGCTGCCAAGAGGATGGCAATGGATAGCATTTGTACCCAGTTTCCATTCCTATGACTGTGGCAGACATCGCTAATCAATCATGACATCCTTTCAGCTCTTTCTCATGATATCTTCACATAGGTTATACTAACTGGTCATTTCAATTTGATACTCTCTGCTTTAGTAGGAAGATTTTTGGCTCTAGTAGTTTGTATAGAAATAGGTCATCTTAATAATTAAAAATAGTTGTGTGTGTGCATGTCCTCTAGTTTTAGAATAAGGTGGTATAGCCTTACTTCCTTTCTCCTCTCTATTTACTGTAACTAACACCCTGCAAATTATTCCACAGGAAATAATAAAAGGATTCTGAGCTGGTGTGGTGATACCTGTCTATAATCTTAGCATCCCAGAGGCTGAGGCAGGAGATTTGAGGCCAGCCTGGGATACACAGTGAGACTGCTATTTCCAACTCAGACAAACGGCCCTAGAATGACAACAATAATGACACATGGCTGTGGTGATCCACACCTCTAGTCCCAGGCCTGGCTCTGTGAAGGCATGAGGATCTGGAGTTTGAGGTCAGCTTTGTCTACACAGTGAGTGTGAGGCCAGCCTGAGCAACATGAGACCTAGTGAGACTGTAGAGGTGACTGTGTGGTTAAGAGCACTTGCTGCTCTCCTAGAGGACCTGAGTTCAGTTCCCAACACCATGTCAGAAAGTTCATAGCTATCTGTTACTCCGGCTCCAGGGGACCTCATGCTCCCTTTGGACTACGCACAGAGACACATAAATTAAAATGTCAAGAAGATACTCTGAAAGCTAGAAAAAGAATATGAACTGTCTGGGGACCTCAGAATTTGAAGAATGACCATGCAGTGAGTTCTTCTTACCCTCGGATTGAACTGGGTGCAGAGGAGGCTTGCAGCCTGATACCTCCAACAGAGATGTACAAAAAGAAGCCAAGAAATGCCTGCTTTCTCTTTTCAGAGACCGAGGGCCAGGGAAATCCAATGCACACTGGCAGAGAGCCCCAATCCCTGCCTCACACATCAAGCCCTCAATAGCCCTAGCCAAGCCCACCCCTCTCTTCAGTCCAGGCTGTGGACAGTCTCAACTTTCTTGGGGGCAGCGGAACACTGTGTCTGTTTCCTCTCACCCTTGGCTCTTCACCAAGGAGATCCAGGCATGGTGGCTTCTGCATCTCTAGGATGTTGCTTAGCAACATCAGGCAGCCAGAAAAAAACTTTGGTGCCCTGAAGACAGCACCAGCAGGAAGGGAGTGGGAAGTTCACATGCACTGGATGAATGACGTGGACCAGAGGAGCATGGGAAGGACTCAGGACCAAGCTGTCACTGGAACGGAAACCTAAGCAGACCTGAACATATGTGCTAAACCTAAGCAGGGTAACTACCAGCTAGAGTAAAGATTCGGACAGCATCAAAGTCTCTAGAATGTTCAGTAACACCAAGAACCAGGAAAGGCACACTTGGAGTGAGAAAAGTCAGTCAACTGATGCCAGTACCCACAGGAATCAGACGGAATTAGCCCGTAAGGCTTTTATGCAGTCCTAGGGAGATAGCTCAGTCAGTAGAGAGCTTGCCCTGCAATCACAAAGACCTGGCTTCGATCCCCAGAACCCATAAAAAAAAACAAAAAAAAAACCAAGCTGAGTGCCAGGTGTGGTGGTTCACTCCTTTAATCCCAGCACCTGGACAGCAGAGGCAGGTGGATCTCAAGGCCAGGCTGCTCTACAAAGCAAGTTCCAAGACAGCCAGAGCTGTTACACAGAGAAATCTTGTCCTGAAAAACAAAACAAACAAACAAAACTTGGCCTGTTGACATGGACTTGTAATCTCAGAGCTGGGGAGGCAGAGACTGGTAGATGCCTGGAGCTTGTCGCCAGCCAACGTGACCTACTTTGTAAGTCCAAAACTAAAGCATATGTTTGGCTTTCTGGAGGAATGACACATGAGAGAGGCTGTCCTCTGTCCTCTACATACGTCAGTCCCATATGCCACCCTGGTACCACTCCATTTCAGGAATGCGGCATGGGAGCTGAAACACCCGGTCTCTTGGTCCTGCATCTCCAAGTTAGCCAGCAAAAATCGCTCTGTCTCTCTGGCCTCTAGGGACCTTCGCGTCCCGTAGTCATCATTTTCTCCAACCCCCACCAGCATCTCTACCCTGGTTCCAGCCCTTCTGTGGAGTTTGCTAGTGTTTGCTATTGATGGCTGATTAGTTTTTATCTGCTTCTTTAAATGTGAACCACAGCATAGGGAGCACAAGACTCTCCCAGCGTAAATCTAATTGTGTAGACACAAAGCTTCTATTGTTCTCTTGAGGAAGAGTAGAGCGGAAAGTAGTTCTGGTTTTTTTTTTTTTAAACAGGAAAAAAAAATAGTATTATTGTCTCCATCGTGAGAACGTCTCCAGAGTTCTTCATAGCTCCTCCTCTCCAGAATAACTGATTTCTCCAGACTGCCATTAGTTCTTGCCCAGACGACAAATACCCACCTGACCTTCTGACTCCAGTATTGTCCCTCTTTAACCCTTACCCGTATTGAAGCCAAAATGATCTTCCAAAAGTTGTGATATGAAGATCCTTAAAATCTTTTTGTCAACTAAAGAATGGGTACATGATCCAGTTCAGGCTAGTGAGGTGTGAGAAAAGGCTTGCCAGAACTTTAGAGAAAGTTATTGTTTCCTTTGAGAGATTCTTGTCTTTTCTTGAACTCCATAGTCTGCCTTCTTGCTCCCAAAGGAAGTGTGGGTTCGAAGCTTGAGGCTTGGAGAAGGCAAAGCCAAAAGAACTGCAAGGTCCTGGAGCCCAGAACCACTGAATGAAGTCAGCTCTCAGACCTGATCTATGAACCTCCCAATCTATCTATGAACTCCTGATCTGTCTATGAATTCCTGATATATCTATGAACCTCCCTATCTGTCTATGAACCTCCCGATCTGTCTATGAAACTCCCTGTCTGTCTATGAAACTCCTGATCTGTCTATGAACCTCCCGATCTGTCTATGAACCTCCCAATCTGTCTATGAACCTCCCAATCTGTCTATGCACCTCCTGATCTGTCTGTGAACCTCCATGAGTTTTGGTGTTTTTAAATTTCAGATGTTCAAATCTGTGGGACAAATGTGGATTGTACAGTAATCTGAACAGACTGTACAATATGGAACTGCATACTCAAAACAGTTAAGATAATATATTTTTATTGTGTGTATTTTATTATAGCTAGGAAACTTTTATAACAATAGCAATAAAACTCAGGAAGGAACCACTAACGGCCATCACTAAGACTCTTCCAGAAAGAGGCATACATAGCTTCACACTGGCCTGTGCCTTTGCAAAAATAAAGACTAAACTGTATCTTGGTAAAGAGAGGTTCTATGTGCAATTTTAAAAACTGGATGAAGTGGAGTAATAGGGCTCTGCCTATCTTACCCAACTTTAAAGAGTTCTCATTTTTGTCTAAGGGTCAAGTTCATGAGTGAATTCACTGTAAGAAAAAAGCTCAGTCTGGACATGATGCTACAGTCCTGTAATCCTAACACTCAAGAGGTGGAGGTGTGAAGACTACAAGTTCCGGGCCAGCCTGGGCTACTAGTAGGGCCCTGTCTGGAAAAAAAAAGGAAGGGAGAGGAAGGGGTGAGGAGCAGAAGAAAGAGGAAGGGAAGAAGGAAGAAGGGAATCTGGGCGACCTTAATTCTTGCTTAGATGACAGCATGTTCCTGCCTGACCTTTCTGGCTCCGGTACTGTCCCCTCAACTCTTACCAGGAAGGGTGGATCTGATAATTAAACGCGGCTTTCCAGTGATGAAGTAAGTTGCCAGTAAAATGGTGAGTTCCCCACCTCAGGAAGAGTTCAGGCAGTGCCTTGGTGACTGACCATAAATCACATTTAGCGTGATCAGATCCTGTCTAAGAATCTTGTCAGGATGTAGCTTTCGGTTCAGTAGGTCTCAGATTCTGATCTGTAAGTACCTCCCAGAAGATTCCATTGCTGCAGGCCCTGAGGAACATGGACATAGTAGGGAATTCCACAGTGGCAGAAAGCTCAGCCAGGTTGGGAATTTCCAAATGTGCCTGTGTGTTAGAATCCCTCAGGTGATTATGAGAAATCAAAGTTCTCAGTTCCAAGGCCAGAGATTTGAATTCTATTGATTAGAAGCAGGTCCTGGGCACCTGTGTTTCGAACAAACCTGCTGCTGAGCCAGACCCAGCCTTTGAAAGCCACTGAACCACAGGCTTCCTAAACGTTTCTCAAGCTCCAAGTTTAATTTCGGAAGAATCTGACACACATCCCATGGGACAAAACCTGGGCTGCTGACCTATGTTCCGAGAAACAGCACCAGGGTCAAAATGTTTCGTTGTTGTGTGACTCTGAGCTCATTCTTTTCAAAGACTTGAGCATTTTCTAGATAGGATTTATACCGTACTCTCAAAATAGCTTTATTAACGATGTTAAGATCCATCGGCCCAATTGTTTAATGTAATTTTGTTAAAAAGGACTTCTGGGGAATGGGGAGATGGTTCAGTAGATAAAATGCTTGATGTTCAATTATAAAGAACTGAATATGGATCCCCAGCACCCACAAAGAAAAAAAAGCAGGTATTGGCAGCACACACCTGTAACCCTAGCACTGGGTAGGGGCCAGGACAAGGCAGATCTCTGGGGCTGCCTGTCCTTCAATGAGTAAGAAACCCTCTCAAAAAAACAAGGTGGAGAATTATAGAGGAAGACAATTTTGATGCACATGGCTTCTACATGCATATGCACACACATGTGCATGCATACACAAATACACTCATATATGTGCACACATACATGAAATAAAATAAACAGATAATGTTAAAAGAAGACTTGGGAAATGGCTGCACAGGTAAAAACAGTAAGTTCAAATCCCCAGAACCCATGTAAAAAGCTGAGCACAGCACAATCATGTGTGTCTACAGCTGAAGCCCTGGGGTATGGGGGAAATAGGCAGAGACCAGAGGATTGCAGGGCTAGCTAGCCACCAGTCTAACTCAAGAGTTTGGTGAGGCACCCTGTCCCAAGGTAACATGGCTCACAGTGCTAGAGCAGGACACCTGATGTCCTCCTCTGGCCTCTAGGCACACGTAGGCATGAGCGAGCACATGAAGGACTTCCACATTGGACTTCTTGGAGAGTTTTACACACACACACACACACACACACACACACACAAAACACATGAACACACACAAAACACATGAACACACACACAATTCAAGGAAATCTGGGGTGGTATAACACACTGAAAACAGCTCCCAAGCAGGAATTATTTAAAGTGATCTTGAAAGAGCCACAGTCTCTTACTCATGGAGCAGCTATGAAAAGAAAATTCCAGATGCCTTTTTATGAGGGTTTAAAGAAGTGATTCTCAACCTTCCTAATGCTGTGGCCCTTTAGTACAGTTCCTCATGTTGGGGTGGCTTCCAACCATAAAATTATCTTCATTGCTACTTCATAACTGTAATTTAGCTACTGTTATGAATCATAATGTAAATATCTGATATGCAGGATATCTGATATGTGGACTCTGTGAATGTGGCCTCTGTGAAAGGGTTATTCAACACCTCCTCCCAGAGGTCACAACTCACAGGTTGAGAACTACTCGTTTAGAGGGTATGTGTATATGTGCATAGGTTGAGAACTGCTGTGTTAGAGGGTATGTGTATATGTGCATGTATATTCCCAAGTTTGGAGATCTATGGTGGGTGTCTTCCTTAATCACATTCTACTTGATGTTTTGAGGCAGGGTCTCTCACTGAACTTGAAGCCCACCAATTCAACTAGACTGGCTGGCCTTTGAGCCCCAGGGATCCTTCTGCTTCTGCCTCCCTAGATCACAGGCAACAGACACGTGCTGTTGTACCTAGCTTTTAGGTGGATGGTGGGGACTGAACTCAGGACTCATGCTGTGTGCCAAGTATTTTATCAACTGAGCTATCTCCTCAGTCCTATAGACTTTTAATACTTCAGAATCACAGGCAATTCTTGTTTTTCATACCCACTCATCACCATTAAATCTATGATGGTTAATCTTTACCATCAATTAAATTTAGAATCACCTTGGAGACACACTTTTGGGAGTCTCCATGAGGGTGTTCCGGGAGGTTTAGGTGAGGAGAGAAGATCCACTCTGGATATGGGTGGTATCAATCCAGGGACAGGGGGCCTGGACTGAACAAAAAAGCCAAAAAAGAGAAAGAGCTCCCATCTCTCTGCCTCCTTGACTCGTATATGTGCATGCATACATGAAATAAAATAAACAAGGCAATGTGATCTCCTGTTCCTGCTGCCACAGCTGGAGCTGCTGCTGTCCCCACCAGTCCTTTGCCACCTTGATGAATTATACCTTTAGGCCGAGAGCCAAAAGAAACTTCCTTGAGCTTTTGTCAGAACATTAAGAAATGTAACTAATACAGAAGGGCTCGTGGAGGCTGACGGGGGCCACATTCTAGATCTTGGGGCTAGAAGTGGGACTTGGATTGTACACCACAGCAGGAGTCAGGAGAAGAGTCATTGGGATTAGTAAAATGTGGAGTCTATTGATGGCTACAGTAGCCTGGGGTAGGAGCAAACATGTGGAGAGGCCTGTATGATGTAGCCCGGCTGGTGGGCAATGGCCAAAGAGAAGGAAACAGGTGTATTCAAGTCGGCCGCATCTGTTCATCTGGCTGTACCCCATCAAGCCTGGGTGAGGTGCACCTCCTCCCAGCACACAAGGGTGTCGCTCCTACCTCATACGCTTCCTTTCCTATTAACCTACTGGAACCCACCTTCCATCCTTACCTCAAACACCCTTTGATCAGAGCAGTTTCCCCATGCTGACTCTATTGGGCCCCTCATTATCTGTCCTCAGATTTTGTGTACCCTCCCCCAACATTCATTATATATGTTATCATCAACTTTAAGCTCCATGTAGGCAGAACCCCTGTCCATTCTGAGATAGCTTAGAACTTAAGTACACAGTACCTGGGAGGTACTAGTTCAACCAACGACCTTCCTAAGAGGAGAATTTGAACTCAATTTACCCCCGCCCCTCAGGCCATCCAAACGATCTTTCAATGTATAATTGTTAGAGCTGTGTGAAGCTGAATTAAGGTATCTGGAGTGACAGTGACTAGAAGGTGCGCTGAGAT